TGACCCCATAGAGTTTCCAAGGCTGTGAATCTCTATGGAAGCAGACTGCCACATCTTTCTCTTGTGGAGCCACTGGTGGTTTCGAACCTCCAACCTTTCGGTTAGCAGTCAAGCACTTTAACCACTGTGCCACCAGGGATCTTTATTAATATCACACACAAGTAAAATTTTGCTAAAGATAATTCAAAAGCAGTTGCAGCAGTGTATCAACAGGAAGTGTTAGAAATTCAAGCCAGATTCAGAAGAGGACGTGGAATGAGGGATATCACTGCTGATATCAAATAGATCTTGCCTGAAAACAGAGAATACCAGAAAGATGTTTACCTGTGCTTTATTGACTATGCAAAGGCATTCGATTATGTGGATCAGAACAAATTATGGATAACATTTCGAAGAATGGGAATTTCAGAACACTTAATTGTGCTCATGAGGAACCTGTACATAGACCAAGAGGCAGTCCTTTGAACAGAACAAGGGGATACTGCATGGTTTAAAATCAGGAAAGGTGTGCATCAGAGTTGTATCATTTCACCAAATTTATTCAATCTGTATGCTGAGCAAATAATCGGAGAAGCTGGACTATATGAAGAAGAATGGGGCATACGGATTGGATGAAGATTCTTTAACAACCTTCGATATGCAGATGACATAGCCTTGCTTTCTGACATGACCTTGCTTGCTGAAAGCAAAGAGGGCTTGAGGCACTTACTGATGAAGATCACAGACTACAGCCTTCAGTATGGATTACACCTCAGTACAAAGAAAACAAAAACCCTCACGACTGGCCCAATAAGCAACATCATGATAAATGGAGAAAAGATTGAAGTTGTCAAGGATTTCATTTTACTTAGATCCACAATCAATGCCCATGGAAGCATCAGTTAAGAAACCAAAAGACATATTGCATTGGGCAAATCTGCTGCAAAAGATCTCTTTAAAGTGTTAAAAAGCAAAGATGTTACTTTGGGGACTAAGGTACGCTTGACCCAAGCCATGGTATTTTCAATTGCCTCATATGCATGGGAAAGCTGGACAATGAATAAGGAAGATAGAAGAAGAATCGATGCCTTTGAATTATGGTGTTGATGAAGGATATTGAATATATCATGGACTGCCAGAAGAATGAACAAGTCTATCTTGGAAGGAGTACAGCCAGAGTACTTATGCTTGGTAAAGTAGGTCAGCGAAAAAAAGGAAGATCATCGACGGGATGGATTGACACAGTGGCTGCAATAATGCAAGCACAGCAAGGATTGTGAGGATGGCGCAGGACCAGGCAGTGTTTTGTTCTGTTATACACAAGGTTGCCATGAGTCAGAACTGACTGGACGTCACGTAACAACAACCTCAAATAGTTGTTGGGAGGACAATGCACACAGAAAGTGCTTTGTAAATGTTAATTGAAGTTATGGGGCAAAAATATAAGATTTTTTTCCCTCTGATTATTACCTAATGTCAATTTTTCCTTCCTCTGGTTTCTGATATATAAAAAGAGTATTGTCAGCCTTAAACTTCTCTCTACATATAGTAGTAATATTCAAGTCTTATACCCAACTTTCCTTCCAGCTATGACTCTAACTCTATGACTAATGCAATAAGTCCACGAAAGCTGAAGTATGACCTTGAGTATATCCCACCTGACTTTAGAGACCATCTCAAGAATAGATTTGACACATTGAACACTAATGACTGAACACTAATGACCGAAGACCAGACAAGTTGTAGAATGACATCAAGGACATCATATATGAAGAAAGCAAGAGGTCATTAAAAAGACAGAAGAGAAAGAAAAGACCTAAATGGATGTAGAAGAGACTCTGAAACTTGCTTTGAGCGTTGAGTAGCTAAAGAAAAAGAAAAAAATGATGAAGTAAAAGAGCTGAACAGAAGATTTCAAAGCGTGGCTCGAGAAGACAAAGTAAAGTATTATGATGACATGTGCAAAGACCTGGTGATGGAAAACCAAAAGGGAAGAACACACCCAGCATTTCTCAAGAAGAAAAAATTCAAGCCTTGAGTTTCAATAGTGAAGGATTCTACCGGGAAAATATTAAACGATGCAGGAAGCATCAAAAGAAGATAGAAGGAATACACAGAGTCACTATATCAAAAAGAATTGGTTGACATTCAACCATTTAGGAAGGTAGCATATGATCAGGAACTGGTGGTACTAAAGGAAGAAGTCCAAGCTGCACTGAAGGCATTGGCAAAAAACAAGGCTCTGGAAATTGACAGAGTACAAGTTGAGATGTTTCAACACACAGATGCAAAGCTGGAAGTGCTCATATGTCTATGCGAAGAAATTTGGAAGACAGCTACCTGGTCAACTGAGTGGAAGAGATCCATATTTATGCCTATTCCCAAGAAAGGTGATCCAACCAAATGTGGAAATTATTGAACAATATCATTAATATCACATGCCAGCAAAATTTTGCTGAAGATCATTCAAAAACAGATGCAGCAGTATATCAAGAGGGAACTGCCAGAAATTCAAGCAGGATTTAGAAGAGGACGTGGAACCAGGGATATCATTGCTGATGTCAGATGGATCTTGGCTGAAAGCAGAGAATATCAGAGAGATGTTTACCTGTGTTTGATTGACTATGCTAAGGTATTGGACTGTGTGGATCATAACAAATTATGGATAACATTGCACAGAATGGGAATTCCGGAACACTTGATTGTGCTCATTGGGAATCTGTACACGGATCAAGAGGCAGTCATTCACACAGAATAAGGGGATACTACATGGTTTAAAGTCAGGAAGGGTGTGCGTCAGGGTTGTATCCTTTCACTATACCTATTCAATCTTTATGCTGAACAAATAATCCAAGAAGCTGGACTATATGAAGAAGAACATGGCATCAGGATTGGAGGAAGACTCATTAACAACCTGCGTTATGCAGGTGACACCATCTGGCTTGCTGAAAGTGAAGAAGACTTGAAGCACTTACTGATGAAGATCAAAGGCCACGGCCTTCAATATGGATTACACCTCAACATAAAACAGAAATCCTCACAACTGAACCAATAAGCAACATCATGATAAACAGAGAAGAGATTGAGGTTGTCAAGGATTTCATTTTACTTGGATCCACAATCAACACCCAAGGAAGCAGCAGTCAAGAAATCAAATGACACATTGCATTGGGCAAATCAGCTGCAAAAGACCTCTTTAAAGTGTTGAAAAGGAAAGATGTCATCTTGAGGACTAAGGTGCACCTGACCCAAGCCATGGTGTTTTCAATCGCCTCATATACATGCGAAAACTGGACAATGAATAAAACTGACGCCTTTGAATTGTGGTGTTGGCGAAGAATATTGAATATTCCATGGACTGCTAAAAGAATGAACAAATCTGTCTTGGAAGAAGTACAGCCAGCATGCTTCTTAGAAGCAAGGATGGCGAGACTACGTCTCACATACTTCGGACGTGTTATCAGGAGGGATCAGTCCCTGGAGAAGGACATCATGCTTGGTAAAGTAGAGGGTCAGCAAAAAAGAGGAAGACCGCAACGAGATGAGCTGACACAGTGGCTGCAACAATAGGCTCAAGCATGGCAACGATTGTGAGGATGGCGCAGGACCAGGCGGTGTTCCCTTCTGTTGTGCACAGGGTCCCTATGAGTTGGAACCAACTCAACGGCACCTAACAAAAACAATGCAATAATAGATTATGATATATTAATAATATAGGAGATCAAACAAAAAACCAAATTAGTTGCCATTGAGTCAATTCCAATTCATGGTGACTCCATGTGTGTCAGAGCAGAACTGTGTTCAACAGAGTTTTCAATGCCTGTTTTGTTTTTTTTGGGAGGGTGAGGGCAGGAAGTAGATCACCAGGCCTTTCTTCTGAGGTGCCTCTGTGTGGGCTCAAACCTCTAACCAACCTTTCAGTTATTCTGGTTAGCAGCGAGCACATTAACAATTTGCACCATCCAGGGACTAATATAGGAGATAAGTGACTATATTATAAGATACTGCAGATTTCAAGAAGAGTAGGTGGAATCAGCTGGATCATTGGTTCTGAACAGAAACTGACTTGGACTGATTTAAATTTAAAAAAAAAAAATCATTGGAAGGAGGTGAGGATAGCTCATAGAACAGAGTTAAAAACTGAACAACCAGCCTTGGAAAGGACAGAAACCAGGGCAGCCTCTTCTAGACAGCTCCCATCATTATCTGTCTTTGTATCTCGATTCTAAAGATTCAGACACCCATTGGGAAAAGAACTGATTGACTGAGTTTGGGTTAGGTGACTACCCCTTGGTAGGAAGAGCTAGAGCACCTTGATTGACAGTTTCATCACAATTGCCTACAATTGCAAAGGGAATCAACGGAGCAAGGAGTATTTTTTAAAAGAAAGGGTAGAACAACAGATTGCTCACTCTAAAAATACAGAATATAATTCCATTTGTATAACATTCTGGAAGAGTCAAAACTGCAGGGATGAAAAACGTATCAGTGATTGTGTAGGGGTTTAGGGTTTCAGGAAGGGTTTCACCACAAAGCGGCAGTTTTCTGGGGTGATGAAGCTATTCTGTATCTTAATTGTGATGGGGATTACACAAATTTATATGCAGTACATTGAAATGTACTGTAAAACAAAAGAATCGGTTTTACTATACTGAAATAAAAATAAAAATATGGAATACAAATCAGCTATAAAGTTGCTTTAAATTTCTAATGCCTTTACTTCTTAAGGTCCCTGGCACAAACGGTTTGTACTCGACTTCTAACTTAAAGGTTGATGATTCAAACCCACCCATTGGCATCATGGAAGAAAGGCCTGAAAATCTGCTTCTGTAAAGATTACAGCCAAGAAAACCCTATGGAGCAGTTCTCCTATAACACATGGGGTCGCCATGAGTCAGAATCGACTTCATGGCAACAGGTTTAGTTTTGATTTTACTTCTTAAGCCATTGATTATATATATATAAAAAAAAAGCATACAAAGGTTACACATATTAACCATCTTTTTCTTTTTTGAAAACAGTATTTAGAACTTCGATTTAACAAATACGTTCGTCTCTGTGGAACAATTCTCTTCATTGTCCAAACAGTAAGTAGCTCCCCATTAATTTATCTTTTGTCATCTAAAATGTTTTTCACCATGGCGTCTGGGTAAGCTTACTTGGGAAACACATGAAAGACAAAAAAGAGACGTTGAAAATGTGAGGAAGCAAAAAAGGAAGAACACTTTTCACCACATAGCCTCAAGATCATTCAACTGTATTCAGCACATGCTTCACTTCCTGGAAAAACAGAATGGCTTAAGTGAAACTTGAATGTTATATTGATCAAGCAATAGGTATGTTGCTTTAGGAAAACGTTTTTCCTTTATCCCACCAAAGTGACAGTAGGGCATTACTGAGATAACAAGACACCTGAGGGAACTGTTGTAACTGATGTTAGGAATTCTTACCAAGGGAAAACAATTTGTGTGTTGCACAGGATTTTTGCAACCAGCTAAGTAATACATGGAGCCCTGGTGGCACAGCGGTTAAGAACTCGGCTGCTAACCAGAAGGTCAGCAGTTCAAATCCCCCAGCCGCTCCTTGGAAACTCTTTGGGGCAGTTCTACTCTGTCCTATAGGGTCACTCTGAGTCAGACTCAACTTGACGGCAATGGGAGTAATCCGTATGAAACAGTTATGACGTAGGAAGACATCAGGACATCATTTTCTTTGTTTGAAAACATACTTTAAAAATTTGCTCTCTTTTAAAAATTGAACCATTAAGACCAGACCCAACTGAAGCTGACACTTAGAGAGTAAAGCAACAGAATCGTGAGCGCAGGAGGAGTTTTTAAAGCCAAGTATAAAACCCAGTATTTCAAAAATATGCAAGTATAGGTTTACTGACTAACATGAATGGAAATAAAGGATTTGCCAAGAGGTTAGTGACAGAGAATGCTTCTCACTCTCTGTCCAGGCTGCTGGAGTCTCATTGTGGTCACTGTCACATCCTATCTATCGACTGATGGATCAATCGATCGATCTTGGCAGTTAAACACTTTAGGGCTGGGTCTGGTAATGGAGATTGAGGATGGAGTTTTCTTTCCCATCCCTAATTATAATTCTATTTCTCCATTCAAAAGCTGCCTAATCACTTGCTACCACGAGGCAAAGTGCCTTTATAAATTATTTAACTGGACTCTATTTTATATCTTCGTAAATTACATAACTTACATTATATCAGTACTTAACGAATGCAGTACAAAATGAAGGAGCCCTTTGTAGTCTGGCAGAGAATCTCACACAGAGCTGAGGCTGGAGCTTGAATTTGCCCACTCTTCAGACCCTCTCTGATCTTTGTTAGAAATGAGAGTGTGGGGACAAGCATTAGGAAGTGATCTATGGTCATGTTTTCAAACCTTCAATTTGGACAGAATAATGGCTGTGGAAAGCTAGTTTATTCTTGCAAAAAGAGGGGCACTTTAGCACCTCCCTTTACAGGACTTCTTTCCTTTCACGGATCTACCCACGTAACATAATCAAACATTCAAATAGTACATAATATGCTTTTTATAGATTAATCATAGAATTGCCTTCTATGTGATATATTTGAAAAATCAAATGAAATTATACTCTCAGAAAAGACCTGTTTATCTTGTTCATATTGTACCCCAAATTAATAAATATTTGTAAATTGTATGAGTAAAAATAATAAATAATACACAAAAACATGGAATACACTTACTGTGGCTTTTGGAATTTTTTTTTTTTTTAGTGAAGATTTGCACTTTTGCTTAATAATGGGCCTATAAACTTTTAAAGAAGCCCTGGTGGTGCAGTGGGTAAGAGCTTGGCTGCTAACTTTTAAAATTTTACTGTTTCCCAAATAATTATGCAGTGATTAACAATAGTTGGAAGACATAATCGAGGGACTGTCTTTTAAATTATTAAATTATTATTATTATTATTATTCTCTAAATAGCATTTCTTATGTTGTAAACAAATTATATTAAGTATATAGAAACTTTTGTTTTAATTCGTAATTGAATCTGTAGAAACAATTTCTCAATATTTTATTGCAGGCATTCATACTGTTTATATGACTCTTTTTTTCCCTCTAGATTCTGTATACCGGAATTGTTATTTATGCCCCTGCCCTGGCTCTGAATCAAGGTACATTTTAGAGTTGTCAATTATGTAGCTCACATTTTGGGGTTCAGTATTAATACATCTTATTCTCTCTTTGCGGAGATGGGTAGTAGAGGAATGTTTCCAGTAACCTGCATCAGCTTTATGAGGGGCTGGGGTGGTTCCAAAGTCTACTGAGCTTCTTTGGATTCCCGGTCTACAGATTAGTAGGAGGGCAGACTTCACTGGGCCGCGATTCTCTGGTATGTGCCAATCAGCCATTCTCCATTCCTTCAGAATGAGCGACCCCTACAGTTTAAAGCAAAAACGATTGTTTCCTCCTTTGTGGCTATAACCTGGCGTCCATCGCCAAGAGGCTTTCGTGGATTTCTACTCAGGTCCATTGGAAAATCTGGCAGAGAGAGAAGCTTTTCTTCTCCCCATCTCTAATGTCATCTAAAATGAGAGAGAGAGAGAGAAGCAGAGAGCCAGAGAGGGAGCCATTTGATTTGAAATACTCTCTAGAATGGGCTAGATAAAATTGGTGAAACAGGGACTGTTTAGAGAGAGAAAGTTACGTGCTAGTCTTATGTCCTCAAAAGGCTTTGGGAAAACCCCATATTCTTTGAATTCCTATCAGTCAGAAGTGAATTTCTCTTCAAAGCTTCCTTCTATGGTTATTTTCCTTGTATCCGTGGACAAATGGACTCTGTGATGGGAAAAATGTGCAATTCCTTGAGCTAGTATAGAGAACTGCTAACTCCACATTCTAATTTCTTGATTTCATAATAGGTATGATAGTATAAAGTACAACAGTATCATTATAAACAGGATCTCTGCTTATACACCGTGCTCTTGAATTGTGAATGCCAGTCATGTTCCATGTCAATATGACCAACATCATAAATGGATCATGTCATATGTCAAGAACTGAATCCGTAAACTTAATAAGTTACTTATTGGCTTTTAAGTGTAATTAAAGATGTTGGCTTCAGGTTTTTTTTTTTTTATTGTACTTCAGGTGAAGGCTTACAGAACAAATAGTTTCTCATGAAACAGTAGTACACATATTGTTTTATGACACTGGTTAACAACCC